AGTCACTGCACCAAGGACATGGTCCTGAGAGATGACTGGGGGCATTTGATGCCCAGGAGCAGGTATCCTGAGGCGCTTGTGCTGGCCTGGATTGGTGGACAGGCTGGAACTCCGATGGCAGAGAGGCCATGGCACGAATGATGCACGGCTGCATCCCTCAGAGGCCTTGAGGGAGGGCCTGGGTGGCACTGCCGGTGGACTTAAGGTTTGGGCCACTTGGGAGAGCAGAGAGGAACACATCGAGGACTCCCAGAATGCAGGGCACCTCACCGCAGCCTTTATTTAGTTCACATTTTATGCGTAAGGTGTTGGTGTTTAATGATGAAAATCTGTTACGTTTTGTTTGTGGTTTATCATGTCCTTTTTAGCTAATTAGCATGCCGCTAGTGTTTTACCATCTTCAAGCTGTTTGGCTGTTGGTGACTCCCCCCTATTCAGTGTGTTAATTACTACTGCAGATATTTTTCACAACTCAGCTTTAGTTCATTGTCTAAACTAATCTCATCTTGAGAGCTACTGTTTTTAGCTAAGCTTAGTATTTTATTTATGTATTTTTACAACAACAGTTAATTGCAGCTCTTTGTTAGGTCTGCACTGTTAAAATGTTGGTCAGCTTAAAATCATATAGTAGATTATTACACTGCTTTTCTTGAGTTCATTCGACTTAAATGTCTTAGTTGAGTCAAAACTCATATTTTGCCTAACTCATATTTTGAGTTCTGCTTAAGTACACAATGTTTAATGTTTTCCCAATAGCTGGAAATTTTTCCATCAGATAATCTCACCAGGCATTTTCTCCTCTTGGGCTCCCTGTTATGGACACAGCTATGACAACACTGGGGTTCAAACTTACAACCTTCTGTTTGATGTGAATGCGTAGTTATACCACTCACAAGCTCCTGAAATTTCTCAGCTTTCTGAAAAAAAAAAAAATTGTTTCATAACATAGTAACATCGTAACGTGGTACAATGCTCTAAAAATACACCACAACATCAGGAGACTGTGAGTTCGAACCCCAACGATCCCATAGCTGTACATATCTGGAAGTCCAAGAAGAGAAAATACCTGGAAAGACTGTGTGAGAGAAAAGGTTCCAGCTAGTGGAGTAAAAGACAAATTCTATATTGTTTACTTAATTGAGTAATTAGAAATGAGAGAACCTTTGACTAAACTAAGATGTCTGAGATGAGTTAACTTTGGTGTCCTCACGTTAACTCAAGAAAAACGATGTAGCTGGTTACCTAATAATTTTAAGTTGAGCTGACTGTTTTATAGTTTTTTATAATGCAGAAATACAAATAATTCCAAAGGGGTCACACATTTTTATCATACTTTTACAGGACAAGTGAAGGCCGGGGTGTCTTGAACACCAGACCACCTCTAATCCTCCCCTTCAAACCTTCCACAGAAACATTTCTTTTAACTTTGAGAAATCGCAGTTATTGCTGGTGATAGAAAGCATGGTTACTGGGGATGGAAATGATTAACCAATGAACTGTGAACTGACAAATAATTGTTTTGCCAATGTTATCAGTTAAAAACAAATAAAAATATTTCAGTTGTGCACCTGAAGGCACAACTGGCAATTGGTTGTGTTGGATAAGCCTATCAAAAAAAACTAATGTAAAATTAGTGGTGTTCAGTTTCACTTTTACAAGAGGACAGCAGCACAACTACATCGATGTAAGATAGCAAAAGCAAACACCCGATAACAGAGAAAACTAGTTTGTCTGTGTTCTTTGAGTGAAAGCATGATGCCTGGCAGTGTGAGGAAATCACATATGGGTGTGAAAAATAGAGAACAACATGGTGGATGGCACTGAGCGAAAGCTAGCCCTGCTCATGGTATTTATATTTGTTTTAACTTAGGCTAGTAATGAGTGGTAAATATTTCAGTAGCCCATAATTATATGTTCCAGCCTTTTTGTCAGTGTTTTTACTTTTTAGTCATGTAATCATGAATATTAGCCTCTCAGTTTAAACAAAATCGGGTTCTTACAAAGGGTATGTTTAATACAGTTTCAGACGGTTCTTACAAAGGGTATGTTTAATACGGTTTACTTCCAGACTTACACCTGGCCCCATCTATACATACTATGTTCCACAGTCAATGCAAGGAATACTTTTTAATGTCTTGGTTCGTTACCACAGAATTCAGTTGATGAATTAGCCAAATGTTGCATCCCCACATTGTACAATTCAGGCTTAATTATTTCTTATTTTACACACACACACACATATATTTACTTCTGATGTGCAGAAAAGGATATGCAGACTTGAAAATATTGATACAGAATGTAAATCAGGTGTAAATGCAATTTATAGTGCAACTCTCTATGTAATTAAAGATGTAATTGCATAATTCTATTCTATTTGCATAGTACAGCAAAATGACTAATGAGTAATAACTCTTGACTTCTAAGGCTGGCCTTACATGGTGAAACTTTCATACAACATGTTTTCAAGCAACAGGATCTCTGTGCAACTTGATAGTTATACAAAGCAATTAAAAATAATCAAAATTGCTCACAATACATTTGATTACTGCACTAATCAGGAAAATTGGCTTTTTTTTATACTGTGTATTGTATTGCTATATAAAATCATATGCATGCTGTTATTTGCATATTTGTAACATTTTTATAGTGTTGGTATAATTTTTCCAGCCATTTCTATATCTACATATCAGTCCTTTATATATTTATCTATGTTTATTTACCATGTATTTTATTTTTAAGTCTATCTTGAAAATGAATGTTTAAGTGGCCATTACAGTTCTTGCATCGCTCATCTTGTCCTAGACGCTCAGTGAGTACCGCATCTCTGTCTCCTCTTCTGTAATAATTTTTATTAAGGTAGGCGAATTACAGACAGACTGTTTGACTTGGTTTGAGTGTACTGTAGGAGGCAGCTCTGTGTGTGTATGTTTCAATGTGTGAGATAAGAAGCTGTGCATATATCTGACTTGTTTATCTACAGTGCCACCCTGCCAATCAGGACGCATGGCAAGGTGACCTTTTGGCCTCTGAAGAAGATCCAGGGACACACACTGACACACTGATCCTAGATTCCTCTCGTCTCTCGGTGTCTCTCCCTCTTTCACTTTCCTTTTTCCATTCTCTCTCTATCTCTCCCGCTCTCTCTCTCTTTAATCGCCCCTCATTCACTCTCTCTCTCTCTCTGCACCCGTAGGGATGGTTCTGAATGGCCAATGAGGCTGTGTTATTGTGTAATGCATCAGGCAGGGTGGCAGACGGCTGGCCCAGGCGAGGTGGCGTATGAAGCTATCAGCCTGACAGTCCAATTACTATCATTCTGCCTCAGGAAAGGAGATATTTACCGTCTGCAATTTTTCCCCCCAAAGCAGCTTCCCAAGATCTACACCATTCATTCCAGCCTTTTACCATCTATTCCCAGTGCTAATGCAGAGTGGGCCAATAAACGGCAGGGAGGAGCTGGAGCTGGAGGTGCTTTAATGGGCTTTCTGAGACGCCTCATCCGAAGTAGGTGGAGGCTAAAAACAAGATGGTCCTGGAGAATCTGTCAGAGCCACAGAGGAAAGCATATGAACAGAAGCCCTCGTGGTGAGTGCCAGATCGCCAATTAAATGTGATGTGAAATTAATTACATTTGGAAGTCATTATTCACCAGCTCCACAACATTTAAGTGAATGAAGGAAAAAAAAAATGTCATTCCCTGGTGGAATTAATTATGGTGTGATGTCTACAAAGCAGATCCATCAGACCTTGATTAAAAAACCCCAAATCAGAGAACACAAGACAGGGAACAAGAGCATGCATATTAAGTGTATTTTTTCCCTGGCAGTAGTGGTCATACACCACATGAGAGCAGAGTTGAAGCCTGAGAGAAATGTCACTAACTGAGGGACACCTCCCTCTGCTAGGCCTTTACAGGTGACATTACAACAAGTAATGAATTACCTGAATAGCCTGTCTGCCTGGATTAGGAGCAGCAGCAGAAAAGGGTCACACAGCTGCTGTGTATTTATGGGCTGGGAATCAGTGGCGTGCTGTCGGTGTGTATTAACTCTATAATTCCAAGATACAAAAGTGACTATTTCTGCCTTTTAATCGACTCCTCTCCTGTAATGACACTGTAATGCCAATGCTGTTCTCATATTTACTTTGATATGCAAAAAGAAAAAAATTCACAGGTTTTTTCAGTCAATAATAAGCATATCCATAGAGATGTGAATTGTGTTCTGAAAGTGCACAAACTTGCTCAGAAACACTGCAGTTCATCCAAGAATAAAGGCAGCATGGTTCTTTTTTGTAGTGATAGAAAACACAATGGCACACAGAAAGCTCCAATTCCACAACTACTCAACTACTCTGGGGGCAGATTTTAATATCTTAAAAGGCACAAAGACCGTGAATGGATCACCGATACATTAGGTATGACAGAGTTAAAGAGCGTGTCTGTGAGAGAAGCTGTAACTGTAATGAAAAATGCATCACCTCACAGCCTACAGTGTATCTCATAAATCAGTAAGCATCTGCTTATGGTCTCTTTCTCTCTCTCTCACACACTCAAAATCGCTGACACAAAACCGTACTTGGTTGTCTTATATCGGCAGGACTGACAAGTGTGCTGTTCAGGTGTGTCACTGAATGGACGTAGCATTGGGAAAAAACACATATATCATATTTACCGTGTAAATGAGAATCAGGGAGTTAAAGCTTACAATAATAACAGGAATGAAAGTACTGTACCTAGAGACTGAGGCTAAGTTGTGTGGAAATTTGTTTGATAAACAATGTGACTTAAAATTTGCATTTGCTTTAAAAAATTTATGTTGGTCCAGTTGTCATGAAATGTTTACACACTGTAAACAGCAGGTGACATTTTCAAATGATGCTAAATAAATAACTAACTAAATAAATACTCCTGAGATTTTCTGGGCTGCAATATGTACAATGCATATGTGGCTGTGTGGGTGTGTGTATGTCTGTGTGTGTGTGTGTTAGGGCTAACCCACCTCTCCCCATGCAGCAGGCAGGGGCTCCACAGGAGGGTAGTACTTGGGCAGGTCCCAGGCCACCGTGTTCATGTACCATTTGAAGTCTTTACACTTGAGGTGCTTGCGCAGCTCTTTCTGAGCAGTCAGGTCTCCTGTGGAGAGGTGGCGGTACTCGGGCCGGCGCTGGTAGATATATTCAGCATACTCATCCATCCATGTCTCTGCCACTCGCTTCAGATTCTGAGTGAGAGAGAGAGAGCAAGAGAGAGAGAGGAGTGATGGAGAGAGAGAGAGAGAAACAAGGAGAGAGATAAAAGATAAAGAAAAGATTGAAATAAGGGAGAGAGAGAAAGACCAAAATAAGAGAGAGAGAGAGAGAGAGAGAGAGAGAGAGAGAGGGGGGGGGCAGAGAAAAACATACAGAGAAAGAAAGATTGAAAGAGGGAGTGAGAGGGAGAGAGAGAGAGAGAATTTAATAACTTTGCCTGACTATTCTCACATGTATGTTTATGTTTGCTATGTCAGCAGTAATATAACTTGGGGCAATCATGCTTATAAAGCATTGAGGAAGACAGAGATAAGAGAAAAACAAAGAGAGATTGAAAGAAAGAAAGAAAGAAAGAAAGAAAGAAAGAAAGAAAGAAAGAAAGAAAGAAAGAAAGTATAAAGAATGAAAAGAGTAAGAAAAAAGAAAGAGAGAATGAGAGATGAAAAAAGAGTGAGGAGAGAAAAAAAGCAAGACAGAGATAAGAGAAAAGGAAAAAAGAAAAGAGAGAGATAAAAAAGAAAGAAAGACATGACAGAGGGAGAGAAAAAGATATGAGCAAGGAGAGAGAAAAAAGAAAGACTTAAGAAAGAAAAATATAGAGAAATAAAAGAAAAAGGAGAAAAACAAGGAAATAAGAGAATAAGAAGAGAAAAAGAGCAAGATATGAAAAAGAAGGGGGGAGAGAGAGAGAGAGAGAGAGAGAGGGAGATGGGGAGAGAGAGGGAGAGAGAAAGAAAGAGAGATAGGAAACAGATTCTATCAAGCTAAATGAAACTGACATGATTCCGTGCAAGTGTCCAGTACAACCCACCAGGTCGGCACATGTATGCACAGTGACACTTAAAGAACACACAGAACTCTCTCCCCACTCTCATGAATATTTCCTGGGTGGCTGGATACCCAAGGTAAAGTCAGATGTTCATTTGAGCAAAACATGGCTGAGAGGTTCAATACAGTGCTCCAGAGCCACAGAATGGTTAAACAGGCGTGAAAGATTACTGGTTGTGAATTGCCACAGATTGAGCATTTGTGTGGGAATTAATGCTGCAGCTGATTCTATTCTATCATAAACAATGCTACACAACCTGTCACAAACTGTTTACCCATCTGCAACTGGGTAGGAGATACAAAAGCACCCATACACACACACCCCCAGATTCCATAACTTTTTTTATTCACAAGCAGTAGGCATTATTAACAAGATGAAGCCATGAGCTGTCTTAACAATGATAGATCTAGCTGTCACACTTGATGCTTTCAAAACAATCTCTCACAAACAACCTGCTGCTACACCAGTGTATGCTGTTGTTTACCCCATTATAACAATTCTACCATAATATATGCAGTCATATGGCTCTGTATATATTCTATAGCTGTTTTTCATACTGCTGATGTATATTGTCTGTATGCATGGTTTAACAGAATGCACAATGTCTCCATACTGTTATGCACATTTGTAGAATACATGTATGTCTGTATTTGGATGTGTTTTAGTGTGAATTCCAGGATTCATCTACTGGGTACAGGTTACATATGAAGAATGAAGCCAGAGTCATGTGGCAGTGGTGAATCACTGGGACGAGTCTAAAGCTGGGGCTGATGACTCATACAAACAGATTCGAGGGTAACAGCACTCTGGGAAAGTCTTCCAACAAGGCACTTTTTCTTAGATCTCAGAGAAAGTTTGAAAATGTATAGGGTTAGAATGTACTGGAAGACAGCAAGAACCACACAAACAAGTAAACTAGGGAGTAAGAAGTAAGTAAGAAACTAGTACAAATGTCTGTACAATGACAATAACACTGAATTTAATTAAGCTTGTTAGTAAGTGAATAAGAGAGTAATTAAGTGCATTTAAGTAAACAAGTTTGCATTCAAGTGACTATATAGGCAAGTAAACACAGTAATGTACAGCTAAGCAAACTGTTTAAAGACACTATCTGGAGCATTCTACTGAGAATGAGAATGAGCATTCAAACTGCGTTCTCAAACAAAAAAAAAAAAAAGATCAAACCTTAGTTTTACAAGGATTTTATAATCTATATGTTATATGTTATAATCGAATAAAACCTAATACATTAATTGAGGTAGGAATAAGCTAAATATATACAAAATCATCATTTATAGGGTACTTTCTATTGGCAGGTTGCTATTTTTTTTAAATACATATATACACTCACCAAGCACTTTATTGGGAACACTACCCTAATACTGGGTCAGGCCTCGTGGCATGGATTCTACAAGATGTTGGAAACATTCTTTAGAGATTCTCGACCATGTTGACGTGATTACATTCCTGCAGATTACTGAGCTGCACTTTCATGCTGCGAATCTCCCGTTCTAAGGTGTTCTATTGGATTCAAATCTGGTGACTGGGAAGGCCACTAAAGAACATTAAACACATTGTTATGTGCATGATACCCATTTGAGACAACTTTTGCTTTGTGACATGAAGGGATGCACATGGTCAGCAACAATACTCTGATAGACTGGCATTCAAGCGATGATTGATTGATATTAACAGGCCCAAAGTGTGCCAAGAAAACATTCCATACATCATTACACCACCTCCACCAGCCTGGACTGTTGACCCAAGGCAGGTTGGGCCCATGGATTCATGCTGTTGGTACCATATTCTACCCTACCATCTGTGTGCCTCAGCAGGAATCCAGATTCATCCGACCAGGCCATGTTTTCCCATTCTTCAATTGCCCAGTTTTGGTGCGCCTGTGCCTGCTACAGCCTCAGCTTTCTGGTCTTGGCAGACAGAAGCGGAACCCGACATGGTCTTCTGTTGTGGTAGCCTATCCACCTCAAGGTTTGACCTGTGGTGCATTCTGATGCTATTCTGCTCACCACAATTGTACAGAGTGGTTATCTGGGTTACCGTAGCCTTTCTGTCAGCCATTCTCCATTGACCTCTCTCATTAACAAGGTGTTCCATCTGCAGAACTGTCACTCACTGGATGTTATTTCTTTATTGCACCATTCTGAGTAAACTCTAGTAACAGCTGTGCATGAAAATCTCAGGAGATGGGCAGTAGAAATACTCAAACCAGCCCGTGTGGCACCAACAAAAGTCATGGCACGTCAAAATCATTGAATCACATTTCTTCCCCATTCTGATGGTTGATGTGAACATTGCCTGAAGCTGCTGGCCTATACACACACACACATACACACACACACACACATATATCTTTATTTATTTAAATACGTAATACTTTGAGACTTTACTTTAAAAAAAAAAAAATGCTGACGCACATTTTCATGTCACAATCAAAATGCAAAGAGATAAAAAGATAAAAGAGATAAAAGAAAAAGCTTTATTTTAGCACACCTCTGTGTTTTAGAGTATGAAGTGAGACTGTATCCTTGTCCCTCATGGCCACATGCTGAGCAGTTCATTCCCACTGTTTAGAACAACCATTGTGTAACCTTAAGAACTGTCACTACTGAAACACATATTTCCTGTAGTTTTTTTATGTTTTTAATTAAATATATTATAATTTTATGTGTGTATATCTATTTATCTAGTCATGTACCGGGTAGCATTTTTGAGTTATACTCAAAATTAGCTAAAATTGTCACAACAAAAACAGTCATTACTAAAACATTTGGTAAAGTCAATAGTTTTACCAGCGCAATACATTTAACAAGCCACCACCATGTCAGTGTCACTGCAGTGCTGAGAATGGTCCACCACCTAAATAATACCTGTTCTGTGGTGGTCCTGAGCATTAAAGAACAGGATAAAAGGGGGCTAACAAATTATGCAGAGAAATGGACTACAGTCTGTAATTGCAGAACTACAAAGTGCACCTCTATGGTAAGCGTACCTGATAAAACGTACAGTGGAGTGGCCGGCATATATGAGAGATAATGCAGCAAAGAGTCATAGTAACTAAGACTATATATGTTTAAATGGAACATGGAAATAGAGTTTTGTGCGGGTTTTATTTTCCTCACACAGGTTCATAAAAGATTTGTCTGTGTGGTATGTGTAATTTCTAACTGTATTATTGTTAGGCTTAACGGAGAAAGAATCAGGGTCCATATTGGAAAATAAATTAATGTATCAGGCTGAAGAGACAAATGGTCGAGTGTATGTGAAGCTGTCGCATGGTCATACAAAGAAAAAGAACCAGAAAAGGCTGTAGAAATAAAAGAGTGAAATATTAAGTCAGTCTAGGAAAAATGGACAAGGGTGAACCTTAATCAGACTAGGATTGATCATTTTGATTCACAGGAGGCTTAGGTAGGCAAATACCAAGTTAGTCATATCTGAGATATGCAGTATTTCCCCAAGGCCATGTTTCGTGCAGCTGGGGAAACAGTTCCTTTCTTTTCAAATGCACAGCTTCAGAATCTTTGTTCACATAGATGTTTGTGCCCTTCAGTGTTTCACGCTGTTTTAGTATTTTCTCTTCACCGTAATGCAAGAGCTTTACATTTGTTCTTGGGGACTGGCATCAAACTTACCAATGCATGAGCCCTTGGAAATTCCATAGGGAGGCTTAAAGGAAGCCACTCTCTTTACTAAAAGTGATTTTTGATATGAATTTGCCTTCTTTTGACTAGACTCATGGAAAATGTTATGCACTCTTTAGATGACTCCTTAATGACTAAATCATTTCTGAAACATTCTATTGAGTGAAATTTAACAGTAGATGTTTTAAAATATATTTGATTGTAGTTTTTGAAGAGAGAAAATGTAGGTTTGATCATTTTTAGAAATTTATTAATGAGAAAATAAGGAGAGGAAGGCAAATATCCAGTGAACGTCCAATATGTACTCAACTTTACCTGGCTGTCCAAAATGCCAAAGGATGCTACTTTTTTGGTGGAAGGAACTGCAGATATTAAAGCAGATCTGATACAATATTCAGGGCTTTTTGCTTTATTTTATTTTATTTTTTACAAAACTGTTGCATAAAAGCAATAGAAGCAACAGATAACATCACGGTTGTGATGATCTACAGCACTCCTCGCCTTCAGCTTGTCCTGTGACCAAATCACAGCCATGATGTTATTCATGATAACCCACGTCCTCTTATTTTCTACTGCTTTACTTTACTAAACTTTACTGCAGTAAAAGTAACTTCTTGTTTTCAAAGGTTGTTAAGAACAGAAGTTTGTGGAAGGTAATGAAGGATTGATTAGCCAAATCAGGTATTGGATGGTAACTTCAAATAACCTTGAAATGAAATTAGAAGAGAGCTGAAATGATTAACCTAACACATTAACATTCATAACATCACTGCTTATTGTACTAATACTATAAGGTTGATCCAAAAATATGGCATTTCTTGCCATTTAATGTGCTCTTTTCTATTAATCATGTGATTTCTCAGTACAGTTGTGAAGAATGTGATCTAAAAAAGTCTTTGTGTTACAAGGTATATTTTTGAACAAGATAACACATGAACAGAAATATAAGTCACACATCAGACGCATTTCATTGTTACTCTGATTAACTTAGTCATTAATAAACTATCTGAACTGTGCTCTGAATGCATCTTTTATACAGTGATAGAAACACAGAAGCACATAAGAGGATTATATTGTAAATATGGATACATTTCACTGTGGTCAATGCAAACTTGCACACACTATAGCTCCTCTGGTGGCATATTAAAATGAGATTAAGGGGCCAAATTCACAGAATGCATCACCGGCAAGATGCTCGGTTTGACAAAGTTAATGTTATTTTTATTTATTCCAATTGTAGTGTTTTTCTAAGCAAATAAGCATTTACTACCCATATACATAGCTGTTTAACTATCATTTTCTCAGCTTACTTCAATAAGCTGAATATAACAGATATTTAGTTTAATGCAGTTAAAGACAGCTTGTGCTTAGCTACAATGGACCATCAAAATAAAATGTTACCTGTAGTTTCTATTTAAGCAGATGCGTTAATCCGAGCCTACTCTCATATTCTGGTATTTGGTCAGTGTATTGCACACTACTGCAGATCTCTGTGATCTTCAGTCAGTGTGTTGCAGGCTACCAGTGGTGCTTGAAGTGAGTCTACTGTAATGCTGCTGTCGTACCATGAGATTGGATCTCAGTAAACTGCAGGCTCCTATTATACTCTTAATGGCTAACAGCAGAGGAGAGGAAAAAGCACTTTCCTCCAGCCTAAATTTCGACCTTGCAGTGAGTGTACTGCAATGCCATTACACTCTTATGTGGTTAGAGATGTCAGAGGGTTTGTCTACTGTAATAGTCTTGTGAGGTTTGACGTGTAGTTGAGGTACTGTTCTGATTTGCTGTTATTCTGAACAGAGGTTACTGTACTCTAATAGCATTATTCTATATTATTATTCTACATTATGTGATTGCATTGTAATATTGTTACTGTCACATGTTGATTGAGGTTTTTGGACTGTAATATCATTACTCAACCACAGCATTACTCATTATGCAACTAAGCTGCAGCTGGCAGTTCCTGTGACAGTTAACAACTACTATATAACTAGACAGCCTGGACCATGCACTAGCAGCCAGGCTAGCATACATACAAAATGTTTATATATGTTTAATGCCTTATCACTTTGTTTGAGGCTAACTTTGGACTGCCTACTGCGCAATGTGTACTGACAATCAATACTGTTACTGTCACACGATGACAGAGGTGACTGACTGTAATACAGTAAATTTTGTCTGACCTGTAATAAATTGAAAACGATACAAAAACTTATTCCAAATTTGATTCCTGCCACACATTCCAAAAAAGTGATGACACGAGCATGTTTACCACTGTGTTACACCACTACATTTAACTGCATTTAATAATCACTTGGGGACTGAAAACACGTACTGATCCAGTTTTGAAAGTAAATTTTGTTGCTGTTCTTCTGTTATACCAGTCTTCAGCTGTGCAACCGTACTGGTCCCCATACAGGTCTGGACTGCAGGAAAGCCAGGTGATCACCTACACTCTCTGATTACCAGCCATGCTGTTTTAACACATGCACAATGCAGCTTTGCACTGTCATGTTGAAATAAGCATGGACTTTCCTGAAAAAGACGTCATCTAGATGGCAGAATATGTTGCTCAAAATGTGTTCAGCTTTAATGGTGCCTTCACAGATGTGCAAGTTGCCCAGTAATACCTCCCATACCATGACACAATCTGTTTTTTAAACTTTACGCTGGTAACAATTTTGACGGTCCTTTTCTTCTTTGGCCCAGACTTCCATTATTTCCAAAAATAATCTGAAAGGTGGACTTGTCAGACCACAATACGTTTAAACTCTGCATCAGTCCATTTCAAATGAACTCGGCAGCACATTCTGAGCTCAATTTCTGGATGCAGTGATGGTCGATGTTTATTAACAATGGTTTGTAAAAGTATTCCCAAGTCATCAAAGAAACATGCCAGTTTTTAATGCACTACCACTTGAGGGGTCAAGGATCAGATATTTATCTGGATTCCCTGAATTTGTCGATGATGTTATGCACTGTAGAGGATGAAATACCTAAAATCATTGCCATTGCTCACTGAGGAATGTATTTTTTAAACTGATTTTTTCGCTGATGCATTTTTAGTGGTGAGCTTCGACCCATCCTTGCTCATAAAGGACTAGGCATTTACTTTATTTACCAAAGCATAATTGCATCACCGCTTTAAAATGTTTTTGATCATGTCACACTGTTAATAGTTTCAAATTCTAAATTATAACTGCATTTCGCATACTGTCCAAACATTTTTGCAACTGGGATTGTATAATTATTGTTACTGGCCCATGTGAACAGAGGCAGTCCTACTGCAACATTGTTACTGGTCCAAGTGGACAGAGGGGACGATTCTGTAATCTGGCTCCAGGCTCAAGTAGACAGAGGGGACAATTGTGTAATATTGCTGCTGACACAAGTGGACGGAGGTGACTATACTGTATATTGTTATTGGCCCAAGTGAATAAAGCTGACTGTACTATATATTTCCACTGTCCCATGTAGATGCAAGTTATCATACAGTAATGCTGTTACTGTCCCATGTGGACAGAGGTGACTGTACTGCAATGTTGTTACTGGCCCACGCAGACTGAGGTAACTGCTATAGTATTGTTACTGGCTCATGTGGATGGAGGTGTATATACTTAATATTGTTATTGGCCCATGAAGACATGGATGACTACACTGTAATATTGTTAATGGCTCATATGGATGGAAGTATGCATACTGTAATATTGTTATTAGCTCAAGTGGACAGATGTGACTGTTAATGTAATATTGCAACTGGCCCACTTAGACGGAGGTGACTATATTGTAATATTGTTATTGTCTCATTTGGATGAAGGTGATTATACTGTAATATTGTTACAGCCCCATGGGGACGGAGGTGACTTTACTGCAATATTATTAGTATCTCATCTAGACACAAGTGACTATACTGTAATATTGTTGGTTACTGGCCCATATGGATGGATATGACTATCCCATACTCATGTGGACAGACGTGACTGTATTCTAATGGTTCTATACTCGCTCTAGCCATGCTTGTTCCAAGAGGGCATTTTGTATAGCATGTATATCTGGTGGATTGGGCACACTCCTAAAGACAGCATTCTATCATGTGGGTGGAAGTGATTCTACTGTAATAGTGATACTTTTTCATGTGGATGGAGATAACAACTGTAATACTGTTACTAGCCCAAGTGGACGGAGGTGACTATGAAATAAAAAGTGTCTGTAAAGTTGTTACTGGCCCATGTGCTGTAATGGTTTTGCACTCACTCTAGCTAGGCTGGTCCCTGAGGGCACTTTGTATGGCACATACTTCCTGTAGATGTGGCCCACTCTGGAGCATGGCACATCGTACATACTGCCCCCACACATCCACACCTGTGGAAAACACACAAAAACATGTAAGCATGCTAGTTATTTTCCATTTTAATCAATCAACCTTTATTCAAGCTTGGGGTAAATTAAGGGTGGCCCTCATTTACTGTGTAGCTTAGCATTATACAAAAATAGGGATTAAAAGAGTTAATATACATTTGTAACAGTAAAAATATAGTTAGAACAATGACCAATAAAATATTATTAAAACTGTACAAAAGATTTTTGGAATTTGGAAACTTTAAGACAAATAAGATTAACAAATCAAAACTTATCAATTAAAACAAGCAGAATAGTAATACAAAATAAAATTATAACTGATTAGGATTAGAAAAAGATAAAATAGAAAACAATACAAAAACAATAATAATAATAATAAAATGATAAAATATAAAAAATAAGTACAATAAATTACAATAAAAAATAAATAAACCCACAAAACCAAGAAAACTATTTCTTTTCTTTCAGGCACTGAGAGAAACATGGCACTACTACTTAGTATCTCACAGCCACTACTCAATATCTCTGTGAGTCCAGTATAAGGACTCAGCGGGACTGACTCAAAAGGCTGGTGAGTAGGCTTGTACCGTAAGGATCCATAGAAATGTTTCACAGTGTGCATGTACCAAAAACAAGCTGCATCCTTTCCGCAGGCTCCAATTATACTCCTACTAGCTGACAGCAGAGGAGGAGAAAAAGCCTTTTCTTCCAGCTTAAATCTCTACCTTCGCAGCTCCGAGCAGCACACAGAGATGGAGTCACAGAAATTTGGCCTGCATTTCCTCCATTTGAACCTATAGCTGTGCTCCCAAACTTCTAGACTGAATATTTAGGGCACGATATGACTTTACATAGTACATTACACTCACTAATGTCTTCTGTAATATGTATAGTACGTATTATGTTGCCACTGTGGCATGTGTAATATGTTGGCATTGTGAAATTTCGTACATTCAACACATGGTAATTTCATAGCAAAGAAATTAAAGAAATAAATAATTCGCTTGTATGGTTTACAACTTGCTAGGGATATTGATCTCAGATGTCCCACCACATGTACACAATTATTTTTAGATTAACAGTGTTCTACTAAATGATATGGCTGTCAACTGTGAGCAGTGGACCACTGGCCAATTTTATGGGTCAACCAGTATATCAATCAGATCCAACTTGATGGCACATGATAGCACTATTTTTGGTAGTCAGCTAGTAAAAATGCGCTTTTCACGAAGTTACACTTAAATAAGTAGCTAGCTAGCATAACTAAATGCTAACTCTGACTGCTAGAGGGTGCAAACCTGAACCCACAGCATGCCCTGAATCCGCAGGTCTAGACTGCTGGCTCTCTATGTCTGCAGATGGATGATGGTGAGACACGTCTTGTTGCCTGAGTCTGTGCTTTTGATGTTTAGGCTTCTATAGACTGCTGGCTCAAGGCTGAAGGAGGAATTCTGCTTGGCCAGTGACACACAGGGGGTGGTGAGTGGGCTTGGGGTGTTTTGAGGATGGGGGGTGGGAGTGTTGGTGGAGGGTGCTCTTCTCTGTCTCTAACAGACAAGTCTGAAAGCTCTTCTCTTTGTCCCCTCTTACCCTCCTCCTTTCCCTCACCATCCCGCTGTGTATGAGAGAGCTGTGTGTGCAGATATCAAACGGCACAGGGCTCTCTCTCCCCCGCTGGGGCAGCTGCTTTAGCGCTCAGACTGACTTCACATACTCTGTCCATATGGAGATGGAGCTCTCCTCTGAGCATAAACGAAAGAGAGATATAACAAATGAGGTTTTATGAATAATTTTCACACTTTATTCATATTTTCCATGGCACGTGGAGAGATGAAGTTATGGTTTAGAGAGAGATATTACTGGGAGGACTCGTGCTGCATTTTTTATAAAGCCACCCACGTCCAACAGATGGACACCGCTCAGATAAAGACCAGCTGACCAATAGATAGAGCCAAAGCACTCCTAGTTTCACTCCAAACAGCAATAAAACTGTGGAGGCTGAGTGCTGGTGCTGTATCAGAGCGATAAGCGACGTGTTTCTTGCTATTCAGAGGATTAACTTCTAAATCACGAATGTTAAATGTCACAGGCAGTTGTAAATTTTAAGACTTAAGATAGGTAACAGAATTTGACTGGCAAAGCAGCAACTGAGAAAAAAAAAATCAAATAAAATCTGCCAAAGGTAATCTTAAAAAAAAACAAAAAAAGACTAAGGCAATTTAGCTCCAGTACTATTTTTGCCGTTGCCATGGTTACCAGAGGAAGAAAGGGTTGCGTTCCAATAACAAAGTTCACTGACGGCGCGCGAGAGGAGAGAGCCTAATGAAAAAGGAAGGATGGCAGGTATGTCATCTCCGATAAAGAGAACACGCTCCCTCCCTCGTTTGCTCGCATGCGACGCCTCCGGTTCTGGCCCAACTAATCAAAACCGAATCACCCCACAGCCGCGTGCAATCACAGGATCACACACACTAATTAGTTTCAGCAGAGGGGCCAGCCTAAAAACACACTGCTGCCTTCGCCTGTCTTTTTATTTCAGGCCATTTCTGTCCTTTCAGCTCTGAAGCTCCAGGCCATTATGTGTAGGAGAGGAAAAAAACCCGACAAACTCCAGTCTGCAAATTCACCACGACTTCATAGAGCTGTCAGAAACGAGAAAAGCTCGTGTGAAAGAACGGAAGCAGACTGGACATGTCATGCAGAGAAGCACACAGGAGTAGTGGATACAGTACTGTCTGTCTGGTACACAGAGGAGCTGAATTAAAAGAAACAGTGCATACTCAAAAAGAGAGAATAATAAACTGGACCTTCATGGAGGGCTATGGATGGTCCATTTTTAGTCTGTGTGGATTTGATGGAGCACTGCTCCATATTTTCTCATCAGTCCTACATTACCAGGGATACACTATTCTCTCAGACTGACCCACATGAGGTAGCCTTGGTCAAGAGCTTCGGGCGCAGCATCTCAGGACCAGCAAAGATGCAAGCACTCACTCACTGCAGCCCAGTTTTGCACAGCGTGATTTAGTTCACTTGTGTCAGCATCACTCATCAAAACATGTGTGCTATGAATACTACCATTTGCAGTAACCTATACAATGTACATGTAAATATCACTGACAATAAAATGTATTGTTATTTTGTTTCCATAGTTGATTTCCTTACGTCAGTGTTTTCAAAACTATGCATGAATACATCATAAAACTTTCAAAACCTCCAGCCTCCAGGAGAATATCTTTCACAAAATAAGTATTTGATGACTTAAAAGGACATTTTTGCAAGGATGGGTCACCTAAACATAAAAAAAGGTACGTTTTCAAAAAATTTCTATGTATATGTGGACAAGCAAGTATGTGTGCATTATCCCTGATAATGGGAAAGTGTTGTTTAGCCATGCATTTTTGATCAAAAATCAGCTCATCCCTTCAGCCAATGGTGTCTATTTTGCTAAACTAAAACAGATTTAGCTGTAAAGAAGACAACGACACATTATTTTTTGCTACAGTTTCACTACCAACAATAGGTGAGCTCGTTTTTACACATCTTACTGGAAATCGAATTTTTAGATGACGTTAAAATGAAGTATTCACAGTCATGCACAACCCTGAATAGTAGTCTCTGCCACCTGTATTTTCCCTATTTTAGTTAAATTGATAACAAGATTGGTCGCCAATTATTTTTTTACTGTCAACATTATTTATAATGTCAATTAGCTGTTGTTGCCTTTTAACAAATGAAAAATATCTCTATCTATTAGTTATCTGCCTCTGTAAAAACACAGGGCATCCTGGATATTAATTGTATTATAACTTTTATATCACCATAACTATAATAACTTGATGCTGCACAGCTTTCTCAGTGAATTTAGAGTCCGTTCCAACTCTGTTCATCATTCTGGACACCACAAACATTCCTTCACTTTTTATAACTTTCTACAAATGTTTTGAAATTTGAACAACACATTAGAATGATTTTTCCCATGTATGTGCAACCAAATTAGTTTGATAATATTGAAAATAGTTGTTCCAAACTTTTTTAACAGTAGTGTTCATTCATTAATCTTGCTGTGAGTGAATTTGGAACTGAGGCTTTGTACACTGTAAATATTGGTTATAGTCTAACGTACTGTACTTACTAGGGATGCAAGATTGGAACGGGCCAAGATTGGAATCGCCAGATTTTTTGCTCCATACAAGTAAAGAGCGATCAGCCAATCTACTATATTTGCTTTGGCCAGCCTGTGTTGCAATTTTATGATGTACATAACATGAAGCAGATGAGTGCAATTATGGTGTATTTGAATACTGAGGTGTCACCTGTACAAAACATTGTAGCATAATTATGCATGATTTGTGCTAAACAGCCTCTCTACTTTCAATGAAGCATTTTATTTGATTTATGTTATTTAAATAGGCCACTGAGTTTAAAATGCTGCTTTGGCCCATTAAAGAGGAAAAAAAGCGATATTTATATCGTACTTATACATAGTGTGTGTGTGTGGGGTGTAGTTACAGTGCACAGTATACAGTGTCTTGCCGAAGTATTCAACCCCTTTGACAATTAACAGCATTACAAATGATAATTGCGCATGCCAGTACTTTTAATGTGAACTTATATGCCATACATTCAATTTAAGCTACATTAAAATACATTATTTGTCTGCAGATATGTTAAAGAATAAAATGAAAAACTTAACTATGCTGTTTGCATAGTTAAATTCCTGTGCTCTGGAAGCTTCATGCTCACACAGACGAGTCCCTCGCAAGGACAGAATTGCCTTTTAATTGGATAAAACTGGTTTCTACCTGTGAACCATTAAAGTAACTGCCACATTTTCTAGATAAAACTTTGAAAGGGGGTTGAATAGTTGCGCAAGACACTGCACAGGACTTGCTGTATGTTGCACCGGGCTGAAGGATATTGTTTATGTTGCATAGGGCTCTCACCTTGAAAGATATTTCATACTGCTCTCCTCCCCAGATCTCCAGGCCTGTGTCATAGCCTCCTAGCTCCCAGAACCACTGCCGCTTCACAGCAAACAAACCTCCAGCCATCACTGGAGACCTGCAGAGAGTCAGAGAGGACCAACACGTTCAATACTCCCTCACACACATCTCATAATACATTTAATTCTCCAGGCTCTGTTGAAGCTCAAGGAAAGGCCAGATGAATTCTACTGAAGGTCATACAGAAAGTACACTCACTTTATGGGTATGTGAGTTTAACACAATGTGTGAAGCAAAGGTTCTGGGACCAAGACCTAGAGTGGACAGTCTCTGGGGCAGAGAACTGCTTCAGCAGCCGCAGGCTGCAAAGGTACAAGGCTTTCGCTCAAAGATTTTGCTTTCTGTCCAGGGGAATAGATTTCAACTGAAATGTATTAATACGGACTAAACACTGAATACTGAACAGTACAGTATGGAAACAGTGTTACTGTGAAGTTCAGATCATGTAGGCCCTACAGTGCTATGTCACAGAGTTCTACAGTATTCAACAGTTCTTGTTCTAGCTCTTTCATGTCTCAAGGCTAAGGCCAAGCCTTCTTGATATAGACTCATCTACCATATCACTCCAGCTGGTGAAACAAGGCTCTGGTGACCTGATAATTCTTGAGCGATCAATGAAGTGCATGTAGATGCTGGATGCAAACCTGTGCTCACTGCAGTCAACATGGCAGATATCAGACTCCTACGCACTGTTCAGCAGCAGACTGCACTCAGATCAAAGAGAGACGAGACTGATGCCCTGTGGGCAGTGGCTACTAATGCAACAGTAATCCTGTGGCCCTGCCCAGACCTGCTACATGTTTAAGCTGCTTGTGTATCATGGTGGAACTGTAAACATACCAAGTTGTGTTTTTCCGCAAGACAGTTAATGAGGAGGCAGTTGAATAATATAATGTAATGTTATAAGGGATGGAATTATACTCTCCCTCTCTTGCTTTCCCTCGCTCTCTTCTGTAAGTCTTCTGTGCCAAGTTTCAGGCGCACATAAGACGCATTCTGCCTGAAACACATGCATGTTATGCACAAAACTGGCACACAAACCTAAACGCAAGGTCTGTGTGGGATGTACATGGAAAAAGTGCATAATGAGTTTCTCCCCCTCATACATACGCATTGGAGGCAGCATCCTCAAAACATGAGACAAGTGTGCAAAAGGGGATAGAGATGCAGTGATTGTGTATTCCGTTCAATTTATTGACATTTCACCAAGCAGTTTTGCATGAATCTCCACCTCAAAACCAAGCCTGCATTAGCTGTACTGTCCCAAAAGTGAGGTGTTTAAGGTTTAATTTAAAAGCCTGGCACAGAATTTTTCCTACTTACTCAAAAGTTTGTATTATCAGGAAGTTTGAGATAATCTTCAAACTTATGGTACAGCACAACATTTACTGGGCATCAAGGAGTGCCTAAAATGACCTCTTTAGTTTTAAAATATTGTAACACTGCCCCTACACTGTTAAAAAAAACAATAGTCCTGGGTAGTAGGTATGGTAGCAGTTAGATGGACATACAGCTTCAAAGATGTGCTTAAAGGATATTTCCCTACTTCAAGAAAATTGTCAGAAATTCTTTGTAAATTGCTTAATGACCCTTATGGCACTGACCTACCCTGTTATTGTTTTCCAAATTCACTTTTTTGAGCCAGCAGAACACCCCTGTATAAAGTGTTGGTGGGAAATTTTAACACTAACTTTAACGTATTGTTTTCTTATTTGTCCCCAGCTTGTTGGATGCTCCACTATTTCACTGTGCCTTATAAACTCTGTTTAAAATACTCAGTAAAGATTCATCTGTGTGAGCTGGCGTTTTTTGAAGAACTTTCAGCAATTAAGAAGCAATTGTTCCACAGAGGTGTTAAAGCTAAAAAAAATTGGCCAAAAAATGAGGAGGTGAGAGAGGGAGAGGAATAAACAATAATCGTGGGAATGGGGTTTGTGTAAAGACAGCCAAGCAGGACGAGCAGGAAGACGCCAAAATCAATTTGCTCTCGTGTAATACCCTCCGGCCCACTTCCCTCCAATTTAATAAGACGCTGAAATATAGCAGTCGACTCAATTAAGCCTGCTAATGAAGGAGCGAGCACTTCACTGGCAAAATTATCCAAGTCTTTTTTTCCCCTTCCAATGCTTGTGCCAATAGAGGCGAAGGATAAGCGAGCAGATTCTGAGGCTTTGTTAAGTGAATTTTGGCAGATTGAAGCTGGTCTAGCCTGCTGCTGCTGCTACTGGGTGGGGTAGATGGTGGCTGTGGAGCTGGTTATGGCTGTGTTTGACCAGGTCGGTTTGTGGACAAAACAAGGAAACAGGTTGACTACAGAACAGATTTTGCCTAACAAGTAGGCAGGTAGGTAATTGAGAAAGTTCTGAGAAGCCAAAAGAAAATAGTTTTGTGCTTTCAAAAGAAATCTACTGGAGTTTAAATACAAGGGCACTTCTACATGCCTTCTTTAACACAAATGTAGAGACAAATTAGCCTGAAGTAAAAGTTAGTTTGCTAGTCTGAGGTAAAAGTACTCTAGTATTGCACTGCCGGCCAGCGATGCGGTGGCGTTACTTACTGCCCTCACAAAATTGGCCTATGCTAAGTTTTGACCCTTAGTAATTACTGCCATCTTGCTATGCATTCAATTTGTACCACATACTTATTTTAAATGTAATTTCTTAAGTACATAATTAATTACATTTACACTTTGTGTGCATTCTGTATAGACGGGTTTAAGGCTGCACTACATTTCTAGTTGATATTGTCAAAAAAGAGAAAAAAAGGACAAAAAGGACAAAAATATAAACAATTTTTTTTTCTTATCAAATTCAAATCATAATAAAATATATCCTCTTGTACTTACAAACACAAATGTGGTATTTTTTGACAATTTAGAAACAAAGAATTTCTCCACTTGTTTTAATGAGCTACAAGTTTGAAATAAAACTTAAATGTAAGACGACGTATTTCAAGGTGTATAGGCAACCGGGGACCTAGGATGGTTAATTACTGGAAGATTGAACAAAATGGAGGCAAATTGAGGGCCTGAGGTTTGGGACAGTATAGTGAGATGAGCCAGAAGTGCATAACAGTGGGTTGACAAAAAGTAGTGCTGTTAGAAGTTCCACTCAAACAAAACTAAATATACCACCACTCCCGACTACTGCAAAAGTCTGATTCTTAGAGAAGAAGCTTAAGTACAGCAACTGAAGTAGACGTAATGATGTAATCAGCCCTAAGGGCAGAGCTGGAGGGATTGTAGTGGCTGATGGCCATGCACTTTGTTTCCAGGGAGATTTCATTTGCCTTGGACCTTGTTTAAGGCTTTAGGAAGTCTGAGAGCTTTTTGCTGTATTCTTGTTCATATAAGCACAATGATAAAGTGTAATGAAGATTGTGTATGTGTGATTTG